TCACTCGGGATCACTCTGGGTACCACATAACGTAACTGCCCGCTCCCCCACCCCAAGAAAAAGAGCAGGTGACGTCGGGGGAGAGATGGGGAAGGGACCCTGACCACCACTGGTCTCGCTCATCTCCTCCGAAGCCTCCCGGCACCCGCTGCCAGCTCCCCATTCTCACTGACCTACGGATCCCCACAAACTGCATGTGATGGTCCCCATTTATCGGCTCCCGGAGAAAAAGGATGGACAGGTGATCACTTCCTCCATTAGGTTCCTTGGTTAATGTCAATCTATCCAGGAGCTTGTTTCTGCCCAGTGCTAGCTGCTGCTCAGTAACAAATGTTAGGCGAGCGCCCAGAAGGCAGCTGGCAATGGGGGTGCCCTCGGTCAGTTCATTCATCCAGCTTCTTGTTGCGGGAGGAGGGACTCGGAGAAGTTCTGCATTCCGGTGAGCAATACCAGCCAATATCTCCAAGGCTGGGAGTAGGGGCTAGTTCATGGCCCAGAAATCAGGGAAGGAAGGCTTCATGGAGAACTGTCACTTGAGTCTTAAAGAATTTTTAAAAATATATATTTTATTGATTTCAGAGAGAAACATCAATGATGAGAGAGAATCTTTGATCAGCTGCCTCCTGCACGTCCCCCACTGGGGATTGAGCCTGCAGCCTGGGCATGTGCTGATCGGGAATTGAACACTCACCTCCTGGTTCATAGGTTAACCTCAACACTGAGCCATGCTGACTGGGCAACTTAAAGAATTTTTAATAATATATTTTATTGTCCCCTTCCCCTATGTTCATTAGAAAAACCTTAGAAAAAGGTGATAAACCAAGAGAAGAAGTGAATTCACTTCAATTCTTCTACCTAGAAGCAGCCACTCTTCAGGTTTTGGCAAATATTCTCTCTACTCTTCTTTTCTAGCAAAACGTGGTGTTTGTTCAGCAATTACTCTGTCAAACACTTTTACATAGAATGTTTGATCTGGTCTTCACAGTTCTCAGGGACTTCATTTAACAAAAAGTGAAATCATACAGTAATTGATTCTCCGTAACTGGTAATTGCATACTTAATTGTATTCTTGGAAAGTTTCATACAGATAAAGCTGGAATCTTCCTAGATTCCCACCCCAGTCTCCTTCTGTTTTGAAACTTTTTTCATGTGTTTTAATGGGTTCTTTCATTTAGCAATATATTTTGAAAATATTTCCCTGTTACTACAGTCTTCTACAGGGTATCCCCACAAATGTATACACACTTTAACAGCTGATAGCTCAATTGATGTTTCTTTCTTTGCAGACTTAACCCATTGGAATTAATAATTATTCAAAGTGTGTATACATTTTTTGATGATTCTACCATAAGGTAACCAACGTCTCCCCTGCCCCACCTTTTTATTTTTTACTATCATAAACCCTGCTGCATTGAATATCCTTGTAGCTAAATCTTTGCATATATCAACCATTATTTTCTTAAGGATACATTCTGAGGAGTGTAATTGTTGCATTGATATTAAGGCTTTTGTTTGTTTGCTTGAACAAGTTGCCAAATTCTACATGTGTAGCATTTTTATTAAGGGTCCGATAAACCTTGCAGGCAGAAAAAATGACATAAGCAGAAGTAAGAAAGTGCAATGTATGTGCATGGTCTAGAGCAGGACATCCAACAACAGCAATGATAGGAATGCTCTGTACCTGCAGCGTCCAGTGTGGTAGCCACTAATCACATGTGGCCACTGACAACTAGAAACGTGGTAAATATGACTAGGAACTGG